CCCCAAAACCCCAAAACCCCAAAACCCCAAAACCCCAAAACCCCATGTTGAGAGTTTTGGTTGAAATACTAAGATAGCTCATTAGTGCTTGTTTCCGATAATCTCTAAATCCAAGTTAAGGACATCGTCAGGAGAAGGAATTGGAGGAACCTCTATCGGTGCTCTAGGTAACTCCATTACCTTCTTTGGTCGGATCCTGGCCAAAAGTCTTCTCTGAGGTCGAGTCTTCCGAATCTGTCCATCCAACTTGCAGACAAAGGAGAGTACCTTTGAACGAAGTTTGGAGGACTCCTGCTCAGAACATTTAGGCTTCAGTAGCCTGTAAGCAGGAATTTTACTAACACATGGAGAGGCAGATTTAAGCTTAGAGTAGTTCTCTGCATAGATTTCCCTTTTTGATCGCTTAATTCTTTCACAAATTCTGTTACTGTGCGAAGGACTTGCCTTTAATTTCCTCGTAGAGTATTTTGATGAGTCAAAATTGCTATAAGACCGATCGTCAAAACCACAACTAAACCCCAGCTTACCTTTTAGAGGAGTGAGGCTCTCTGAAATTAGAGAAATACTTCCGAGGAGAGAGCTTACTCTCCTCTACATGGATGTTTAAAGACTTATCTTTTATGGTGACATTAACCATTCCTTCTTTCGCTGTAGACTTTGCTCGCTTCTCCAACTTGCTAGTATTGACATTATAGCGATGCTTGCTATCCAAACTTGTAAAGATAGTGTTCTTGTTCAGAGGAGTCTTGATTGCTTGTTTAAAGCTGGAATTATGTGTCGAGTTGAGATTATTCCCATTATCAAAAATTCCCTCCTTGTTAGTAAGAGAAGGAGATCTACAAGAACTCTCAAGGTCCTTATTTCCTTTATTGTCCTTGATAAAGTTATAAACATCAGCATCAGAGAGATAAGCATCTTTCCGAGGGGCGAGATTGCTGAAGACTTTGTTTAAACCATTAACTGACATTTTATTATTTCCTAGTCTCTTCTTTATACTTTTAGCTGCTTTTCTAATCTTTGACTTCTCTTTCTTCTTATCTATCCTCAAATTGATGCAAGGTTATACTTAAAAAGCGTAAAATTTGATACTATACTCACTTTTTAAGTTCTCTTCAATCCTAACCTTCAAATTAGTAAACCATGAGTAATTTTCTAAGAATTATACTTCTCTTACTAATCTGTCGGTCCATGAACAACTCCTTCACCTCTCTTGCTCCTGAGCGGGTTTTCATTTTAGGTGTGGGTATTCTGGTATCTAAAAACTCTATTTTACGGCCATTTGCTCTATCAGAGTAATAGCTATTAAGCAAATTCTTCTTCTCGCCTCTCTCATATATCTTCTTGTACGGTATCTTATAAGGATGGTTTACCACCCCAGCCTTATTCAGGCGCCTGAGCTTATCTTCATAATCTACAAAGTCAGCAGGAGAAGTACTGTTCACTTTCTGTGGATATCTAGCTTGGTTATTTTAAGTTCTGGACCCGAAATACATCGTTGAGAAACATATCAATCTTTCCTGAAACCTGTGATTTAGCACTCTGCAAGCCCATATTTTCAATTTTGTCAATCAAATAATTCTTCAAATTAATGTTCGAATCAAGCTCACTGACTTTGAACTGGTACCTAGAAGCTGAAACAAGAGCTGAATGATGAAGTACCGTCTAGCTTTAGACTGCTTCTCAATTTCTTTGACTTTGTCTCTGGAAAGAGCCTCTTTCTGTCTCATAATAGGAGCATTCTTATTTCATTGCGTTGACAATACTGGACTCGATTATCCTTGATAGCTGGGCTGCCTTCTTCTTACTAAAATCAAAGTCACTTCTTTTAAAAATTATAAATTTTAGACTAAATTTTCCTTGAAAATCTATGAAAGAGCCATGCAGTCGTTAAATGCCATGTGAGTGTATTAGCACACAAACAAAGCTAGAGAAAGAGTTTTGGAGTTGTGCTAGATCTTACCTAAGCTTGGTCAAACCATCTGAGTCTTTCGTCATCATTTTCAAAATAAAACTACAAAAATGGGGTTTTGGGGTTTTGGGGTTTTGGGGTTTTGGGG